TGATATTTTGTTACATACATCTATATATATATATATATATTTAGTATATATATTATATATATATATATATATATATATATATATTAATATATTTATATATTTATATATTTATATATATATATATAAGTATACTTATATATATATATGTGTGTGTGTGTGGGTGTCTGTGTCTGTGTCTGTGTCTGTGTCTGTGTCTGTGTCTGTGTATATAAATCTATAACATAGAGAGCTGCGGAATATCATTTTCTCTAAAACGCACTTTGATACCAGCATCATCATGCATCCTCATATGACTCACTGCAACGGGATGTGCCTGACTCTGTTGCATAGGGCTATCTCTAATACTCACCTATGCTTCACTCACTAACTCTCCCTCATCCAGGCTCGGTTGTATGACGAGGAATGGCCAGATCGGTATGTTATATATCTGCCTCTGATCAACGATCTGGTGCGAGTGCTTAGAATAGTGCGAATGTGCTGTACTCGAGTGTCATATAGTGATAGTCCTCGTGTTGATTCGCATTTGGGTACTGCTATGATTTTATATATGATAGTACTGCTATGAGAGTATATATGATAGTACTATTCTGATAAGATATATGGTAGTACTGTTATGATAGTATATATGATAGTACAGCTACGTTAGTATATATGATAGTACTGTTATGATAGTATATATGATAGTACTTTTATGATAGTATATATGATAGTACTGTTATGATAGTATATATGATGGCTCTGTTATGATAGGATATATGATAGTAGTGTTACGATAGTATATATGTTAGTACTGCTATGATAGTATATATGATAGTACTGTTTATGATTGTATATATGGTAGTACTGTTTATGATAGTATATATGATAGTACTGTTATGATAGTATGCATGATAATACTGTTATGATAGTACATATGATAGTACTGCTATGATAGTATATATGGTAGTACTGTTTATGATAGTATATATGATAGTACTGTTATGATAGTATATATGATGGTTCTGTTATGATAGAATATATGGTAGTACTGTTATGATAGTATATATGATAGTACTGCTATGATAGTATATACGATAGTACTGCTACGGTAGTATATATGGTAGTACTGCTACGATAGTACATATGATAGTACTGCTATGATAGTATATATGATAGTACTGCTATGATAGTATATATGATAGTACTGCTACGATAGTATATATGATAGTACTGCTACGGTAGTATGTATGGTAGTACTGCGATGATAGTATATATGATAGTACTGCTATGATAGTAAATATGGTAGTACTGCTACGATAGTATATATGATAGTACTGCTACGATAGTATATATGATAGTGCTGCTATGATAGTATATATGATGGTACTGCTATGATAGTATGTATGATAGTACTGCTACGATAGTACATATGATAGTACTGCTTTGATAGTATTTTTGATAGTACTGCAATGATAGTAATAGTACTGCTGCGATAGTATATATGATGGTACTACAACGGTAGAATATATGGTAGTACTGCGATGATAGTATATATGATAGTACTGCTACGGTAGTATATATAATAGTACTGCTACGATAGTATGTATGATAGTACTGCTACGATAATATATATGATAGTACTGCTACGATAGTATATATGATAGTACTGCTACGACAGTATATATGATAGTACTGCTATGATAGTATATATGATAGTACTGCTATGATAGTATATATTATAGTACTGCTATGATAGTATATATGATAGTACTGCTACGATAGTATATATGATAGTCCTGCTACGATAGTATATATGATAGTACTGCTATGATAGTACTGCTACGATTGTATATATGGTAGTACAGCGATGATAGGGTATATTATAGCACCGCTATGATAATATATATGATAGCACTGCTATAATATTATATATTTTACTACCATGATAGTATATTTGATAGTACTGTTATGAAAGTACATATGATAGTTCTGCTATGATAAGATATATGGTAGTACTGTTATGATGATAGTATATATGATAGTACTGTTATGATAGTAAATATGATAGTTCTGTTGTGATAGGATATATGGTAGTACTGCTACGATAGTATATATGGTAGTACTGCGATGATAGGGTATATGATAGCACCGCTATGATAATATATATGATAGCACTGCTATGATATTATATATTTTGCTACTATGATAGTATATATGATAGTACTTCTTTGCTTCTCTTCAGCTGAGTGTTCTATGTATTTGGTCTGTCGGTGTACCGTTGGTTGGTCTTCATTGGTTGCAGCACACTTCGCGCGAGTCTACCTCAAACAAACGCACATACACATGGCAGGTGACTTCTTGGCTCTACCCCACTAGTAGTGCTAGTTATATCCTTCATAGTTAAAAAGCATCTATACTATATTTAACTTGCATGTGTGCTTTTATTCAGGTGACTTCTTGGTGTACTGCATCCCACTAGTAGTGCTAGCTATAGCTATCACGGTCAAAGAGCACCCATACTATAACTAACATGCACCAATATGATTTCTTCTATTTGTTTTTGTTTTTTGCTTTGTTTTTTGTTTTGTTTTTTAGTTTTCGGGTGACTGTCAGTCTGAGTGACGGACCCCCTGCACGACTGAATGCGCTTATGGCGGCTCTGAGGCAATTCCGTCCGGATGTGGCACACATGTGGCAGCCCAAGGTACGCATTGTACCTATAATGCCATAGTCACCTGTTATGCTTAGTACAAGCCAGTAGTCATAGTCATAGTCACCTGTTATGCTTAGTACAAGCCAGTAGTCTTAGTCATAGTCACCTGTTATGCTCAGTACAAGCCAGTAGTCTTAGTCATAGTCACCTGTTATGCTTAGTACAAGCCAGTAGTATTAGTCATAGTCACCTGCTATGCCTAGTAC